CTCTACTGGAATATGACATTCAGCAAATAAATTCCTGATATGCACTTCTCTGCAGCCATGACCAGATGGCTTCTAGGGTGTCAGTGCTGAGCTATTTATTGTTATGTGTTTTTTGTATTTAAAATGTGCATTTGCCACAGCTTCACTGCGCACTTCAGCAGTTTTCTAGGCTGCTATTTCTCATAGTACATGGGGAGGATCACATTGCAGCTGGCTCCAGGGGACCATCTTTGTCCAAGTGAAACCACTTTCTCTTCTCATTTTTGATGCAAGCATACCAAAAAACAATAATGGCATCCAATTTCTAAAGCTAATGTTTTATTTAAAGAACAAAAAATCCAACAAAACTATATCAAGATAACTCACTAAATAGTGGAAGCCTCAGAAGCACTGAGTGACACAGATTAAACAAGATGTTTGGAAATAAACAGACTTCCTAATCACCGTGTCTTTGCAGTGTTTATACCTTTTCTCATACTGTGTTGTAAGTCTAACCTTCAACATCAGACTGCTTTAAAACACACCTTCCTTATGAATCTTCAGGAAAGTCTCTTACCTGACAATCGTAAGACCCAATTTGGGACTGCTTTACCTATTGGGCAGAGCACTTTGAGTCTCCCATTTTCTCTCTGCTACTATCTGCTCCACTTTACACTCCAGACAGTTTTACAGAACCAGTCATGCTCATTCAGGCTAATGTAGGAGTAATCTTCCTTTCTTCTGTTTTCCAGGAGAAAAGAGTATTTCGCAAAATGAAAGACAAGGTAAACAACATGTTCTGGTCCCCCTGTATGACCTTTTTAGAACAATATAATATAAATACATAAATGAGGCAGATCTACCCATCTGTTACAATATTAAATTCTTAAATTAAATTAAAATAACATAATTGCCTGGTACTTTTCTGGAATTTCTGTTTTGGTAGTCTGGATTACCTGAAGTTACACAGTAGCCTCTCACTTCCTTGCTAGAAAGCTCTCCTACACACACATGCATGTTTACCCATTCTCCATCTTGAGTAGCTGCAATGTTACAGTTCTGTTTCTCATACACCTTGTGCTTTTTGTTTGTGGTTTTGGGGTATGTGTGCTGAGCCATTTGTTAATTTGCCTCCATTCCGTTTCATGTATGTTACCCTGTTCTTCACCTTGTCATGGCAAACTTCATGTTGACCAGTGTCTTGGTGAGCTTACCCCTCTCTGTCATTTGGAGACCTTCCACTAGAGTTATGCCTCTTTCTTTTGCTCAGCCACCCTACCAAGAAGCAAGAATCATCTGCCCCTGTATGAACATCCTTTTCAGACTTTCTGAAATCTTGAGAGCTGCATGTGGATGCCAGAAATCTGACCTCTGAAATGCAAATATTTGTTTGAAGGTCTACGTTCTACTCACACCCATGAGTGAAGTTGACAGAAGCTGTGATCAGCTGTGTATGGGTCTACATGTTGTTATGCATTATGAAAATGAGGTAATTTAAAAATTACCAAATTTAATTCACACTGTTGACTTTAACCTTGTGTGCCTCTAATTCCCATCTGTAAACTGCTTATTGCATAACCCTTCTCTTCTGAACAGGACTTTGTACAGATAAATGGATTCTTATTTGTGAGGCACAGGAAGGATTGCTGTAGTAATCCCAAGGGAAAGAATAAGAATTTCTTAGTGCTTGGTTTGTTCAGCATGTACATAGTCTAGGATCTTAATGCAAAAAGTGAGAAATAAACAGGCAAATAAACAAATATTGTATGTCTCCTCATTAAACGATCATTGTCCAGCTTATGTGCGGAAAGGAGCAAGGGTCTCATGGAAAGCGCAGGTAGTGGTTGGTCAGGAATGAAATATGGGATATGTTGCTGAAGACAGCTAAATAACACAGGGAACTGAATTCAGGCAGTCCAGGCCACTGTAAGTGGCATTTCCTTATGCAAAAAGGCAGGAATTAAAACCTTGGTAAAGTATTTTTACCATAGATTTGGTGTAAAATACCAGAAATGCATAAATGGCGCAAAGAGAACTGGTTTTCTTCGTGCATAGTTGGTCTGGTGACACTAATAAAAAGAGTATACCATGGTAGCCCATAAAAATAGTGTTAAAATTCTTTGAATATTGCAATTGAAGTTAGTACCTCCTGAAAAAAACTGATTCAAGCTGTCAATTTGACAGTGACTAGTTCTGACTTACCCCATTCTACCATCCATCTGTTTATGAGAATAAATCAAATTTGTATAATCAAATTGTACACACTATGGTATTTTGGTTATTATGTGTAGTAACTGTTGGCATATATAAACTTCTAAAGAGCAGATATTGTACTTTGGTATATAAATGAGGTAAAAAGTACATGATCAATGAATTATATTATTACTAAACTCCATAAAATTTAAAGAATGAGTTTTGCTCAGAAAAAGTCATAAGAATTTTTATGTGGCCTAGAATACTCTATGATTTCTCACCATTACCTTTCAACTTTCTAAAATATTTATTTTATAAAACTCAAATAAACTTTCCAAGAATCTGTGTGGGAAAAGGAAAATATTTAAGTCCTGTGACAAACATTCTGATAATCATAATTCCTGTCCTCATTTTTGTCTGTCTCAACATGAATCAACTCCAAATACTTGGCACGTACATTCTGAATGAACTTAACAAACTGGACCAGAAAATTCTATATCAAGATCTAAAGCTACATGAGGTATTCCACTAGATTATATTTGACTAGAAAACAGATAAATTTCATGGTTCATTTGCAGCTATTACCGATAAAATGATTTGAATGGGAATACTTATACAACTAAATTAAGCTGGTTTAGGTCCATAATGATAGCAGTTGAAGTGTTGGGAAATTGCGCTATTTTCACATTTGGAGGCAACAATGAACAATTTGAATCAAATGGTTTGGACACATGATTACTAAATATGTTAACTGACTGTTTAGTCAGAGCAACTGTGATAAAAGACTAATTGATAGGCATTCCAGTAGTGTTAATAAAATATTAAAATAAGCTTCCCAATCTGAGGCAACTGCTTCAGAATCAAGGAACCATTCTTCCTCTTTATAAATATGTAGTATTAGGATATTTGCCAACTAATTTATGTACTGCCAGCATGCCAGTAAATGTTAACAAAAGTATGACTCAAGTAAAATTCAGATAACATGGGAAGCTCTAAAGGTAAATTCACACACAGAGAAAAAAGAAAAAAAAGAAAAAGATCTACAATCAAGAGCATCTTCTTCACTGAGGGATGTGCATAAAATCTGGATACATTTTTTCCAACAAGTCAGAAGCTTTAAAAGACTCAGAAGAAGGGAGGAAAACTATAAAGCTAAGTAGTGATTGTCATACACAATGAAGGGAGTTCAAATAAAAAAATTTAGTAGTATACATGTACCATAAACGGGATTATGTAGCAAAAATAGCTATAGTTCAGCTGGGAAGTCAGCAAGTTTTGGTGCATTACAAATTTTATTCCTGGGGTAATTTTTGTCCATAGAGTGTTTAAAATATAGCCAAGACAGAACTAGCCATAGTTATCTAGAACTTTAGCAGCAGGTAACCATGATAAATTATTAGGAAGATTTTTGCAATCATGCTCTCCTTGATACCCAGAATATGTTAGCCAAGAAACCAAAAACACTTCTCAGTGGAAAGGTGAAAATTAATGATATCCAGTTTGTCAAAAGTGTGAAAATTTGTTTCATGAGAAACATGGAAGTTACAATGTCATTCAATCAAGGAATCAACCCTTGTCATTCAATCAAGGAACTGTGAGTTTGCAAAGACAAATGTAAGCCTTTACAAATATACTGCTCATATCTACAAAATGTGAATATTCACCCTGCACTGCCTTCCTTACCTCTCTGGGTGCACTCTCAGCTGATGTTAATCTACATTGCTCTTTGTTGGGTCCAAGTTCTCCACATTAGATACTCCAGAATCCTCATCAGAAATTTCCAGTGTTATTCCCTGAATGATAGGCGGTGCTGTGGGCATCATTTTTTATAAGCGCTTGTGAAATTTATCCTGATGTAAACATCCAGCACATTCTCTGTTGCAGTGTTCAGTATTTGTCTAGGGCCTCGGAAGCAAAAAGGGTGAGACAAACCAGGAAATGCAAGAAGAAAAAAGACTCTCTTTCTGTAAGTGGGTGTCAAAAGCTGTGAAGAAGGTAAACCAGGAACAAAATGCAAGGATAAGCCATGATGACTGTAGATATTGTTTGGAAGGATTCTGCTTCCTAAAGCCCTCAGTGCTTTATAGAATGACTTTATGCAGATGGAGCAGAGTTCACCCAGGGGAAGAAGCTACCGTAATGCATGACTTTCCAAAGAGTATGCATCAGCTTCCTATTTGCAAGCTAAATATTGCTTATCAATTATTAACATTCAGGAAAAGGTGACTACAGTGTATCCATGATGTTATAGTGAAATTAGATGAGAACTCAAGAGGCACTTAGGATAAATAATAGATGATTAACATGTCATATAAATCAGTGTATCATGTTATTTAATTTGTTTGGTTTTTCATCTTTTTCTTTCCTTTTTCTTCATTTTTATCTTACTCATTTTGATAATACCATTCAACTCAATTCTCTTATGTATTAGGGATAACTCCTGTTTTATTTATGGCTAGGGTAGAGTTCAGTATAGAAGTTAATAAGAAAATTGCTAAGTGTTGTAACACTATCATTCTATTGCTGACATTTAAAAGCTAAAGGGCTGTATTAGATCTGCCTTTTCCTTATAGCTACCTGACACAGGTCAATTAATAAAAATGTGTGTAATAAATCTACTCACTTAATTAAATACCTACTAATACAGATTGAACTACCATCTAATAACATTTTATCCTTTTAAGAACAGGGTAAGAGATAATAATAACAACAATAATGAATAATTTCATCCAGCATCTCAGAAGAGGTTTACGGCCCATTCTTAAAAATACATATCTTTGCATGATTTAATGCAATATTCTATATATGTTTTCTTATTTCATAGATCTGCCATTCTCTTTTAGTTGTCTTCTGTCTTGCCTATCCTATCAATCATATCTGGTTTTCAATTTGCACTCTTAGACAATGAAATTCATATGTGACAACCCTGAAAGAAGACTATTCAGTTACCTAATCATGTAAGTGCCTTCCCAGCAACAAGCAGAGCCCTGGCAACAGTACAGTACAGAACAGCACAGGGTCTGTCAATAGCTTCCAAAATATCCATCTACTTTGCTATTACAGGTATGCAGAACTAGAGTCTAACAGTAAAAATTCCCTGCTGACATACAGTTGTATCTCTGAGACTCTAGGATTTAAAAATTCTCTACTGCATCATCTCAGGTGCTTGATTTTAGTGACTGTGGGTAGCATATAGTCACAAGTTATGATGCCTACGCTATTCCATTCACAACTTTATAAAGTAAGTGGCTTACGGGAGATACAGTGCAGCTGATGAACTTGGCCATAGAAGAAAACAAAAGCATTCAACTTGTGAATTACTTTTCTCATTAGGCTCTAAAATAGTACTGTGTAATTAATTTTTTTTTTTTGGCTAAATATTTCCTAGAAGAAAAAAAGAAAAAAAAAAGTCAATAATAAAATGTAGACATATCAGTGCTTTTTTTTTTTTTTTTTTTTGTCATATATGTTTGGTTTTAAATTTGGAAGGGAAAAAAATCAGTTATGTAACAGAAACACTCCAAGAAAACTGATTAAAAAAATGCAAAGCCTGTGCCTATCCTCAGTGGGGTCCTCAAGCACATTAACTTTTCTGAGTGTTGGTAGATTTTTTACTCTTTCTTTCATGTGTCTGTCTTCTATGGATCTGTTCCCACAGTGAGGGGGATGATGTTTGATTTCTTCATGGTGCTGTACCATATTAGTGGAGCTATTTATTTGTTCCTTATTGGCAGAATGCAAACAGAAGAGGAATTTCTTGGATGCACTAGATCAAGGTTCAGTTACTACAGTAGCTGGTTTTGCACATCTTTTTCTTGTCAAAGCACTCTGTTAGATGTCCAAGCTGCATTAATGCCCAGGTTTATCAGTGTATGTGAAAGGAATCTATCCCAATCTGACTTTAATCACACTCATGATAGACTTATGCATGTTGCTTGAGAGAACCAATTTCATTTATATACTATGTTTGTTTATGCATCAATATCATATTTTTGTTGGCATGTCTGCAAAATTTAAAACAATTTTGTCTGAAACATGCCTAAGATAACGAGACTATAAAACACCTGCAGGACATTTTAAACTAAAAAATTTTGCAAAAATATTAATTTAATGTAAATGAGATGATTGGTATGTAAATCAGTCTAAATGCTATAAACTCCAGGTCTAGCTTTCTAGCTTCATTCAGCTGAGAAACAAGCAAAATTATAAAGGTGTGTTCTAGCTTTCAATGAGAAAGAAACTTGGAAAGGATTCATCATTTGCATTAATTAACCCTTAATAACATAAAGCTGAGATGGTATGTGAGGTTCCCATTTCATAAGGACAGACTTGAACAGATAGCACCTATCTTATCATCAGTTGACACTTTGATGAACAAAAGCCAGACGATTGAATACAAATATCTGTATTGGTCCAAAAGGTACCAAAGTTCAGTTAATTTCTGTCAGCTGTGTATTTTGGTGCAAGAAAGGGGTCGTTTTCATAAACATATGAAACATAGCAGTGTACAAGCTGGTAAAAAGGCGAATTATTGGTAGTGGATTTTTTACAAGAATGCACTATAGTTTCAAAAATCTTCATGCAAAAGTGTCTTTTAATCTCATTCCTACAAAACTTTACATTAAAATATTAATTGTGTCTAACATGTTCTTCATACACAATTGAATATTGCTTCTCTGATTGGTTTAACTTAGGAAAAGATTAATTAAAGCAGGCAGATGAATGATGTGTACTGGTCTGAGTTTTGTTTGGGGAAGGAAATATGCAGGTGTTTATGGCGTGTTTGCAATCTTTTTTTAACACCACCAAGTTTGTTGTGTCTTGTCCTTTGTGACTTCTAATATTCACTTGAAAGATTTATGTTAAATTGGGATAGTTATGTTTAAAAAGCTTATGAAACCCCCTCACAGTAAAAGCCCATGTTTTCAGCATTTGATAATCCTGATAAATTCTCATGTTCTCAAGTCACCCAAGCTCCAAATTAATGTACACAGGCAATTCTTTCTTCAAAGGAACTTAGCAAATTCATTGACAACATCTGTGTCTATTTTAACTATTTCTTTTCAAAACTGTTAATTCCTTGCCTTATTTTCTATAAGATTAATACCACTTGATAATGCTGTGAACTTACATAACAGTAGGTCTAATCATCATTTACAACAAGGCCTCTTTTCTCCTTTCTAAAGGGACTTTAAAATGGATGTGCGCATTAATAATTCACAATTTTAGGCCTCTTTGCCAGAATGGAATAAAAACTGACTTTGAATTCAGGAAGACGAGGTTACCTTAAGATATATGCTTATTTCTTATTAGGATGTATATCAAATGTTTAAAATAGATTTATTGTAAACTCCTTAACGAGAAAGAAGGAATGAGTACTATGTACAGGATGAATGATTATAATTTATATTATTTCAAGGTTGAAAAATCTCACAAGGTTATAAATCTCCATTATCGAGAAGTTAGACCTTCACCTTCTCAAATTACTGTTACACTGACCTAACTTAGAAACATTTTTGCAAGTCAGCATGAAATTTCAGCGCAAAAGGAATAATATTTATCATAGTTAGCACTATATTTTTTTAAAACACTTCATGAGCGCAGACTAATACTAATTAATCCTTACATTACCCAAAGGGAGAATGATAAGTAGGATTTCCATCTTTGAAATGAGGAACCTGATTGTATTTTCATTTATGCTACTGTAAATCATGAAGCTTTCTACTGAAGTGAATGGAATTACACTGCTGGGAAATCAACATGAATATGGTATCAGATATGGGGGAAATGATATGAAGGGAATAAGTGCTTTCCTAAAGGAAGGTGTCAGCTTCAAAGCTATCCAGAAAAGTTAATTACTGCTTCTTAGCCTAGTACTTTGACCATTACAAAACATTGTCATGCAGTCAAAAAATTGAGGGGTTTGAGATCAGTAGCATGGCATTTAAGTGCAGCTAAGAGAGATTGTTGTTAGACAATAATTTTACGATCTCAGAAGTTCACATCAGTCCATATTTTTACTTATACATTTCTGAGAACTTATACAGCATTACTAAGAATGCTGAGTAGGAACATGTTTATCATGGCCTATGGGTGGCTTGGTTATTTCACAGTGTGTGTAAACTACAGATCAAATTCTTCATGAGTAATAATAATAGAATCATAGAATAGTTTGGGTTGGAAGACCCCTTTAAAGGTCATCTAGTCCAACCTCCCTGCACAGAGCAGGGGCATCTTCAACTTGGCCAGGTTGCTCAAAGCCTTGTCCAACCTGACTTTGACTGTTTCCAGGGATTTGGAATGTTTCCAGCTAGATGGAATATTCCAATCTACCACTTCTCTGGGAAAACTGTTCCAGTGTTTCACCACTCTCATCATAAACATTTTTTTCCTTATATCTAGTCTGAAGCTACCCTCTTTTAGTTTAAAACCATTATCCTTTGTCCTATCTCCATAATCATTAAAGATCAGAGAGAAAGGTTGGATGGATTGACATTTTTGTTTATTCTTTAAGCTTTGATTGAAGGTGGCTGTTATAAGATTACTGGTCAAAGACATTTGATTCTAGTGAAGACCAGTGTTTTGGGGGAGTGTCATTCTCTTTTAGTGAGCTTTTGTATTAACTTTTTAAAAAATAATTGGTTTTCAAATTAAGTCAACAGCACAATGGAGAAAGGTTATAACTAAAGTCAAGCTGTACAAGGTGAGGAGTAGATCCATCAAAAATATCATACACAAGGAATACTTCATCTGTACAAACTTCTGTGGAGATCTATACAAGTATCTTTGGAGAGCAAACAAAAAGAAATAAAAAATCCATACAGCCTATTTTGAAATCTACAAAGTCAATTTCACTGGGGTTTTTTTTGAGTTGTGATACATTCTAAAACCAATTGCTAATGTGACCTTGAACAAAACACATGTCCTTAGACTGAGCACATGAATCTATATTTTGGCTACCTAAAATGATGAATACAGACTTTGAGAAGTGTTGAATATTTACAGGCTCCAGAGTTCAAGAAAGATCCTGAACCAGGGATACACTTCAAATACACACCTGTGGCTCCTGATTCCGTCTTTGGCTGTCTGGTGGGGAGAAGAAGCAGATCTATTTTATAGAATCATAGAATAGCTAAAGGCTGGAAAGGACCTTAAGATCATCGAGTTCCAACCCCCCTGCCATGGGCAGGAACACCTCACACTAAACCATCTCACCCAAGGCCTCATCCAACCTGGCCTTGAACACTGCCAGGGATGGAGCATTCACAACTTCCCTGGGCAACCCATTCCAGTGCCTCACCCCCTAACCAGAAAGAATTTCCTCCTTATATCCAATCTAAACTTTCCCTGTTTAAGTTTTAACCCGTTACCTGTACTGATAGGACCCTTGTCCTATCAGTACAGTCCCTAATGAAGAGTCTCTCCCTATAGTCCCCCTTCAGATAATGGAAGGCTGCTATGAGGTCTCCATGCAGCCTTCTCTTCTCCAGGCTGAACAGCCACAACTTTCTCAGCCTATCTTCTTTCCCTGTTGTACTTTGAAGTAAAAGTATCCCTTGCAGTGGTGCTTGGGCTACTTTTAGACGTGCCAAGTTAACTATAAGCCTCGCGTAGCTCTTTTCATCTTTACCTCTTTTGTCAACATCTCTGGCAAAATCCCCAGCCAATGTGACCTGGCCTGTGTCCATGAAAGTCAATGGGCACCAGCTGAGAACCTGGCTCCATTTGCAGCTTTGGCTGCATAAGCAGAGTCATCGACCCAGTAGAGACAACTGGAATTCAGCCACTGATTTCATGGAATTTTTTCAGGATTCATTAAGAGCAAGGTAGAAAGCACACCAGAAATTTCTTTTGGTTTTCACCTTTAGAGAAAATATTTTTGAATAATCAGGAGAGCTGTAGAGTTTTTGCTGCCCACAGAATCAAGCTGCCCACAGAATCAGGCTGCAGTACATAA